CTGACCCAAGGCTCCCTGCCCCGGCGCTGGAGCAAAGCACCCACCACTCCATTCATCACATTTTCTTCTTGTTGGGTACTTTTGAGCTTAGTGTGAGTATGTAGGAGTGCTTTTTGGGATCTTGTAATCAAAGGTGCAATGGAAGTGCAAAGTATTCCTGCTGTCAATGTAAATATTACAATAACAACAGCAGAAGTGCCACAGCAAGGTGGGGCCTGAGGCACCCTTCAACTTCCACCATTCCAGAGAGAACTACATGAAGATTAAGGGCACTACATGTGCAAGAGGGAGGGGAGAAGCTGTCAGCGGGTAGAAGAGAGTGCACTGTGGCTGCTCACCCATGCTGAGGCTGCCCCTCCAGGACCAACCACATGCTTGTGTGGCACCTGATAGGGGCAGATGGAGCAAGTCTGTGTCCAACCTCCATGTGTGAGCTTGTGGCTCTCCTTTCAGCTCATGGGCTGCGCTGACAGGCCAGTGACTGCTGACAGCAACATAATCTGGCTGTGGTTGTCAGGTGATTGGATGACACTGGGTGACTAGCAGGCTAGAGCTGGGGGAGGGAATTGGAGAGAGGGAACAAGGGATTGCACATCCAGGCAGGGTTTTTCTTATCACCCTGGGACCTGGAAGTTTTGTTGGCAAAGAGGAACCAGGGAGGCTGAATTTAGATTGGCTTCTTAATTGTTCCCTAGTGAGAAGTAGAATCTGAAATTAATCGTAACTATCAGTTGAATATAAATGATGTTCCAGGCCCAGTGCTAAAAGCAACGTCTGCGTTTTCTTATTTGATCTCTAAAACAATCGTGTAATGACTGGTTGCCACCTCAGTTTTATGGACAGAGCTCAGAAAGGTGAAATGACTTGGCCAGGGCAATACAGCCAGGAGGTCAGAAAGTTAGTGTCTAAGTGCAAGAACTTTAGCTCCAAAGCAGCTTTGACTACAATGCCCTGGGTTCTTCCAACAGAGCTCTTACGATTTGTTGTTCTCTTGGTTACAGAAGAGAGACCTCCCCCATTATAGAACTCATTAGCTAACTCCAGAAGGCAACAGCAAATTGCTATTTCCAATTGCGGGACTCTATTCTGCTCGGGTCCCCAAATACAAATGGATCTTAAATCAATAGCCAAATGAAAACCTACTTTTGATTCAAGATGTTCTAATGACCACTCCCCATCCCAGGCCTCACAGTTGAGGTCAGTTTTGGACTGCCTTGCATCACCAATCTGCGCTCCAGACAGCGGACAGCACACAATGAACTTGGGAAAATCCCCAGGGACTTCCCACTGCCTCCAGCAGTCAGTCTCTGGGGTCAGGAAGATCCCTCTCTCTAATGAGCAGCGGCTTCTTCCGTCCCTCCCTCTCTGCTGTGACCCTTGCACTCCAGCCTGTGCGGAATCACTCGATGTCCCAAACACCTGTTGTGCTTCCCTGTCTTACTCTTACCATCAGCCATGCCAGTCCCTCTGCCCACAATGCCTGCCCTTCTCATCTGCTTTCTCCATCTGGCAAATGGCTACCTTCCAAAACCCAGTTCAAATGTCAGTGTGTCCCTCAGCATCCTGAGCCACAGAATTTATCACTCTACCTACCCAGCACTCCACAGCATCTACTGCTCAGGGCTAACACTGCCAGTTACAGTCTGTGTTTCTATAGTTGGGTTCCATTTCCCCTTAGGCAGTGAGAACAGAAAAGAGCCGTATCTTGCATCTGTCTGTCTCCAGAGGCCCTGGTGGAAAGTCTTGTAAGTGAAAATGACTAGGATACACAAATGCACTCCTACGCAAAGGAATTCACACATCACATCTGGTGATGATCCCCAAAGAAAGATTTCTTCCAATATGGAGTGGCTGGGCTAGTGTGCTTCCATGTACAAATCCTCCACATTGTCACTGGACAAAACCTAGAACTCTATCCTGTCCTGCTGAGCAACCTGAAATTTTCATGAGAACACATTTGCTTGTCCCTTTTTTAAACACTGTTTTGTTTCGGAAGGGGGAGTAAGTCTATTACTAAATATACAGGTTTTTAAAAAAGATTTTTTTATTTTATTGGAAAGGCAGATATACACAAAGGAGGAGAGACAGAGAAGAATATCTTCTGATGATTCACTCCCCAAGTGGCCACAATGGCTCGAAACCAGGAGTCAGGAACCTTTTCCAGGTCTCCCACAGGGGTGCAGGGTCCCAAGGCCTTGGGCCATCCTTAACTGCTTTCCCAGGTCACAGGCAGGGAGCTGGATGGGAAATGGGGCTGCCGGGATTAGAACCGGCGCCCATATGGGATCCTGGCATGTGCAAGGCGAGGACTTTAACCACTATGCTATCATACCTGGCCCTAAATATACAGTTTAAAAAGCCTTGATCTAGCTGGTCCAGTCCTTAATGACCTCATTCCTTAATATCTAAGCCCTGCCTTGTAGCTGGTTCCCCAGTCTCAGGCTTTTCCTTCCCCCATCTGGCTTGCATATTGCTCTTTATGAAGCCAAAGTTCATACTATGACTATAACCCATCAACTGCTCAGTGCAACACCTAGAGCATTAGCTGTGCTTATCTCAGCCCTGGCACAATGCCAGGGCAATCCCAATCTGCAATTTTGAAATTTTCATTCCCTTTGGGAAAAGAATAGTTTTCGTCATGGTATTCAGACAATACTGATGAGGCTGTCCACACTGGAGGTCTGCAGAGGTAGAAACAGACCATGTGAGTCTCCGGGGACGTGCTTATCTCACCTGGCATTAGGATTCCAAGACTTAGCTATGCTGACGCTATTAACCTATTTTGTCGCTAAACGGTAGTGAGTAGTAGGCTCAAACCACATTTGTGCTGCCTGGGCCAACAAATTCTGACTGCTTCTAATCTCTTCTATCGCAGGGGATGCAGCCATGAGCATTTTCAGGGCACATGTGTGGGTTTGCACATTTGTAGAAGTCAGACATTTAGGTTCTAGGGGATGGAAGTGTCCAACCTGTGACATGGTGTCAGTGTTTCTCAGAGACCCAACAGCCAGATAACATTTCCCCAAAATATCAAAAATACTTCAGTGTAAACACTACTTGCTGACACCCAAGCCTGCCACTGCATAGCAGGTTATGATCCGACCATATCTTGTCCCTCGGGGCACTCCAACAGCCCCTGCCAGCCCAGCTGGGCAAATCTGCTCGTCAGCACAGAACACACCTTGTTTATTTTCTCTGCTGAAGATCTGCTCCTTTCACTCTTACAGTCCTTGATCCCCATCCCACTCCTGGCCCTTGGTTGTTCCTTCTTTACAAAACCCACCCTGATCATAAAACCAGCCTAACGAACTCTCCCTCGTCCTGGCTCCTAAAATACCCACTTCCGGCACAGCCATGACAGCCGGCTTCACCTCCACCCACATCTTGGGAGAGACCGAGTTTCAGGTTTCCTTGTTGGGGAAATGGACATTCTAACTGGGCTGCGTAATCAGATTTATTTGAGAACTCAGCACTTCCAATTTTAGTACTCCCGCTGGCACCTTTCTTGCCACCGCCTGGACCACAGTCAAGAGACGGACAAAATCAGGATCTCACATTTTCTCACGTAACTTAACGTTTGACATGATTACGTTTTGTTTTTGCAGGTTAAACTAGTTATCTTACAGAGACTATCTTTTATTCATTTTTGGGGATATTTTCCACAAATAACACAGCTTTATAAATTCACTGAAGACACAATTTGGCAAGTATTTGATGCTACAAAGCATACATGAAAATGCAGAGGGGTGTGCATTAAGTGCTGGTAACAACACAACTTAGACAAAAGTAAAGAAGTACAATTCAAAAGCCTTTTCGTTTTTGTTAATGAACAAAATGTTCCCAGCAAAACATATTTGGAAGTTCAGTGTTGTAATTTTATCCATTCTTTCTAAAAATTTTAAAAAAATTATCATGTAATTCATACATACTCATACATGTATTTTTATTTATCTTTTAAAGATTAATTTATTTTTATTGGAAAGTCAGGTATCTAGAGAGGAGGAAAGACATAGAAGAAGATTGTCTGTCCAATGATTTACTCCCCAAGTGACCGCAACAGCTGGAGCTGTGCCGATCCGAAGCCGGGAGCCAGGAGCCAGGAGCCTCCTCAGGGTCTTTCACATGGGTACAGGGTCCCAAGGCTTTGGGCCATCCTTGACTGCTCTCCCATGCCACAAGCAGGGAGCTGAATGGGAAGTGGCACTGTCGGGACATGAACTGGCACCCATATGGGATCTCCGCATGTTCAAGGTAAGGACTTTAGCCACTAGGCAATCGCGCTGGGCCCACATGTATTTTTTTTTTAAATAAGTTTATAAAGTACAATGAAGAAATAATCAATCTAGATAGAAACTTTCCAATCAAAAACTAGAAAGAAATATCCATGACTATAAACTGCCCAATAAGTTACTCCTTGGCAAAACAAAACCTTGGTTGAGTTGTGCTCTGTGGCATCTATCTGATGGATGCCACCATCCACTGTCATCATGACTGCAACTGCAAAGTAACTCATTAGGGTGAATGACCTTGAGTTTTCCAAATATATTTTCATCAAGCTGCTATCTGCTTTCCTAAAAAATAGCACATGTGTAAAACCTGAAGGAGGGGGCCCAAAGCCTTGGGACCCTGCAACCATGTGGGAGACCTGGAAGAGGCTCCAGGCGCCTGGCTTCCGATCGGAGCAGCTTGGATCACTGCAACCTCCTAGGGAGTGAACCATCAGACGGAAGATCTGTCTCTCCTCCTCTCTGTACATCTGACTTTCCAATAAAAAGAAAAAAATCTGAAGCAGGAACCACATCCACTTTAATTCATGCTTTATTTTTATTTAAAATATTAAGAATAGATTTCATGTATTTCATAGGTGCAATCTAAGATAATCATATTCTTCTCTCCCTGAATCCACCTCCTTCCTTTTTTTTTCTCTAACTTATGCAAAACATAACTTTTGCCCATTCTGTAATCAAGGCAACATCCACCTCAAATAGAAAAAGTGCAAATCAATTTTATTAGTCTGAAATATTTTGAGATCATTTTATTTGTGACTCAAGTGCATGGTTCCTAAATATGAAAGTGTTTTAACACAATCACGCCATCATTTGGTAGAAACTACTCCTTATAGGAACCCCAGGAAAGCAGGAGGCATTTTATTTTTCCAGACAGGGCTAAGAAAGTGCAGAACTGGCCATTTCTTTGATGGGGTTTACTCTGTTTCCCTTTTGTCAGTTTCCTCCTCCTCAAACTTGACCAAGGGAGTGTGTCTGTTGGCTTGAGAACCTTCTTGGTAGAAGACTTTCTTTATGGTGCCGTCTCTTGGAGACTTTATGGTATGCTGCAGAAACACGAATGGAAATACTAATGAGGACAGAAAACCAAGAAAGAGGAAAAGTAACAGTTATAGTCAATTGTTTTTGATGTTTTCTGGTCTATCAAATCTGCTAAACTTTTTATTATTTTAAATTTATTAAATAAAACTTTTAATTAAAATTCTTAATTTTTTAAACCTCAAGAAGATACAGGACAATGGCAATGTTTTCATGGTATATTTGCAGGTTGAAGGAGACAACGCTGGGACACACCCAGAACCCATCCAGGGACATGGTCTGGTTAGAGCCTCCTAATCCGACTTCAGCTTCACATTAGAATCTCATCTGAGACAAAAAGTACTGATTTCTGGGCCCTGATCCTGGACAGCTGAATTCCACTGAGTTAGAGACTTTGTTAGTAGAAGTTTCCCAGGTAAATGTTAATAGCTGGCCAGGGCTAATAAGCATTGATCTGCAATTTCCAACCACCTAGAAGCCTGCCCAGCTAATTCAATTTCTTTTTTTTTTAAGATGCATTTATTTTTTATTGGAAAGGCAGATGAACAGAGAGGAGGAGAGACAGAGAGGAAGATCTTCCATCCGATGATTCACTCCCCAAGTGGCAGCAACAGCCAGTGCTGAGCCAATCCGAAGCCAGGAACCAGGAACTTATTTCCAGGTCTCCCACATGGGTGCAGGGTTCCAAGGCTATGGGCCGTCCTCGACTGCTCTCCCATGCCACAAGCAGGGAGCTGGATGGGAAGCGGGGCTGCCGGGATTAGAACTGGCACCCACATGGGATCCCGGCGCATTCAAGGTGAGGACCTTAACCATTACACCATTGCACTGAGCCCCAGCTAATTTAGTTTAATTTGAGGTTTTTACTTTGAAATCGATGCTTGGAATATTTAGAATTCAGCCTTAGAAAACAGTAATAGTGGAAACGTCCCGTCGGGTTACTGCCTGATTTCAAGCTATTGACAATGACATCATCAGAAATGACAACAGGTGTGCCTTCATCAAATTCCGATGAAAATCTACTGACAACAAAAATCATTAAGTTTTGTTTTCTGAAGTCAATGCTTAGTTAATCCACAGCTCTCTATATTTAAAATGGTATTAGCTGACACAGTAAGGGAAAGGACCAGTTCTCAGGGTTCCTTTGGCAAACGAGCCTGCGATCTCACTCACCTCCATCTTCATGGCGATCATGACCATCAGGGAATCTCCAGCCTTCACTTTGTCCCCAACTTTCACAAAAACCTAGAGATTCACAATGAGAGGTGAGTATCTAAAACACAGAGATCTGATGTCCAGAGTTGGCCTGTAAACATGCTGAGCGGAAGCTGAATGTCCAGGTCAGTGAGGCACTGCCTGCGCTGTGGGGGGGGGGGGGGGCATCACTTAGCTCCCCATTCCTGCCCACAAATCAGTCAGTTTCACTTGAACCAGATGAATGTTTTATGTATCTTGGTATTCTCTTATTTCTGTGAGTATATAAACAAGATACATCATGAACAAAAATCCTATTGTTATCTTCAAAAAGTTAGTGAAAAGATGTGGATCGTGAGAAACAGTATGTGGATTTCAAAGGTCTTTTTTTTCATCAAAATGAACATATCATTTAATTCCATTTTTTCCTCCATAAAGTTTTGAATTTCTCTTGTATTCTTAAGTGTTTTTGCCATGGATGGGGCCAAGGGATCGAGGTCTCTATTGGTTTCCTGGTTGAAGAGCTGTCTGGGACACTGAAGTCTACAGAATCTTGTTAGTAAGTTGTAGATAATTTTCATGTGGGAGAATTAAGCATATTATTAACTTTGGCCAACAAATACATGAAAAATTGTAAATCACAGGTCATCAGGGAAATACAAATCAAAAACCACCATGAGACACCATCTCCCCCCTGGGAGAAAGGCTGAAATCCAAAAGGCGGAGAGTAACAAATGCTGGGGAGGATGTGCAGAAAGGGCAGCACTGTTGGTGCAGCCACAGTGAAAAAAGTGTTACGATTTCTTAAAAAACTATAAATAAACTTTGTATATGATCCAGCAATTCCCCTACCAGGATACACCCAAAAGAGTTGAACACAATGAGTTAAAGAGATACCTGCATCAGCAGCACTGATCACAATGGCCAAAATTTGGACTCAAACAAGGTGTCACCATCACATGACTGGATAAAGAGAATGTGGAATGTGTGTGGTGTGTGTGTGTGTTTTGAATTTCCCTGAATAATACGCAGTGACATACAATTCAGCTATAAAAATGAATGAAATTCTATCATTTGCAATAAAACAGACTCAGTTGAAAGACATCATGTTGAGAGAAATGAGCCAGACTCAGAAAGACATTACTGCATGTTCTCCCTTATTTGTGGAAGCTAAAATTAAAAAGAAGAAAAGTTTCTGTGTATCAGTGTTTCTGTAAACATAATGATATACAACCTAATTTTATACCTTTGTCAAATGAATGGTTAATACAGAGTTTTAGGTTACTACAGATTTAATGACCTGTGATTACTTAAAAATGTACCGTATGTGAATGAAATAGTCATTAAAACTTGATTGCAACCTGAGAAAAAGATTTGTTTTCTTTTTTATAGGCTTAAATAAATTCATATGTCTTAGATGATCATACTATCATTTTGCTTAGTGTAGTTACCAAAGAATTTTTGGAAACATTTCCTAAGGAAGTCAGGTTTCAAGTCTGTGTGGATAGCTAAAATTGTGAGAAGTGGGACCCACCCTTAAAAGTCCCACACATCATTTCCTCCCAGGTGATGCATTTGTACAACCTGACGGAATTAGGGGTCTGGATGTGAAAGTCAATAGCAGGGAAACTGTGCATCTTTATAAACATAAACAGTGATCACTCTGGATGGATATGCCCACACTACACGAGGTCTGTAGGTACTGAGAACGAATGAGCTAAAGCAGATCCAAGTCTCTGAGCTCACACTGCACTGGGGGCAAGTGTCTCCAGAGGGGAACAGTGGGTGAATCACCCCTAATTAAACATCAGCAACTTCTCCTCTACTTCTTCCATCTCTTTCCCTTTTCCTCCTCTACTATATAAAAAGTATTATCTCCTCTTTATCCTCTGATTTTTAAAAAAGATTTATTTATTTTTTATTGCAAAGTCAGATATACAGAGAGGAGGAGAGACAGAGAGGAAGATCTTCTACCTGACGATTCATTCCCAAAGTAACTGCAACAGATGGCACTGTGCCAATCTCAAGCCATGAGCCAGGAGCTTCTTCCAGGTCTCCCACGTGGGTGCAGGGTCCCAAGGCTCTGGGGGTGCTTGACTGCCCTTCCAGGCCACAAGCAGGGAGCTGGATGGGAAGTGGAGCTGCCAGGACATGAACAAAATGCCCATATGGGATGCCGGCACATTCAAGGCAAGGACTTTAGCTGCTAGGCCACAGTGCCGGGCCCCATCCTCTGATTTTTGGTACCAAGAACATACAGTTAATTTTTGTGATGTAAGCACATTTGAGGAATCTGTATTGAAAGTGTAAAGGGAGACTATTGATCCATCACTACTGAAGCTCTATATACGTGTCATGGATGTCCCCTTAGAATTACTTGTGGCAATTGGAAGGGCAGCGGTGAGGTGACGAGATCAGGAGGACAGCCCTTGTGAATGGGATTCTTCCTTTTGAGCAATCTCCGGCCTCAACCAGCAGGTGAGATGACTGCGGAAAGGTGGACAGTGAGGACACCAGACTCCCATAAGACAATGAGTCTGCTAGTGTCTTGATTTTGCTTTCCTGACATACAGAGCTGCTCATGACAAATTTCTGCTTACAAGTGATTTAGTCTATGGCTTTCTGTTACAGTCTGAATATATACGGCTTTCAACTCCCAACCACACTGTTCAGCTCTTCAAATACTATTTTAACACAGATGCAAATATGCCTATTAGAAAAAATGTCAGTGTTTCACAATAGAACAGCTTTTGTGGGTAATAGTTGGTGAAAGTGCCATTTTAACTGTAACAAAACAAACTGGATTGTTTGTACTTTGATGCAAATTTCTACCTCTCAAAACAATGGTCTTTATCATAAATCAGTTTTTCATTGGAAATTATATAATATCGAATTTGATTCTATAATAAATCCTCTTGCTTTCTTAAAACAGACTAAACCCAACAAAGTGTCATTTATTAGGCTTTATTAGACAACATTCTACAAATGTCATATGGTTACCTTCTCAATGGTTCCGGTCATAGGAGCGATAGCACCTCCTTGAGGCCCCTCTGAGCTCACTGAAGATAGATATTTGGGTACTGGAATGTCAAACTTGATACTCCCTTCCTGTAAACAGGAAAAAAAAACATTAACATGGAAACCAGTTCCCATTACAACATTTTTACTAATATACATGAGACAATGATTCTTTGCTTGCTCTTTGTTAAACATTAGCCATTAGAATATTGGCATTCCAATCTCTCTTTTGTGACTTTGAAGGAATTACTAAGCCCCTCCCAGTCTTGTTTTCCCATTACAAAGGAGCCAGGAACAGTTTTTAACACTTACATAAATTATGTCATTAATTGTCACAAGCAGGTCAGTGATGTAGGCACTGCTACTATTCCTGTTTATAGGTTGGGAAGCTGAAGCCCAAGCTCACTTCTCTGCTAAGTGGCAAGGCCAGAATTTGAACTACAGCAACATCACAATGTAGAACTCAGGGCTCCTCACTTTACACTGCCTCTATTACTCTATCGTTACAGCATAACTGACAACAGAAAGGAAGGCCTGGTCAAATGCAATCAGCCCGGAGTCCATAACTACCACAATATTGAAGACATCATAGGATACAGCACTGTGATATGCAAGACTGTTTCAGAATGTGACAGTCTCCAAGGAGGCCACAGTCAAGCTGACCACTGGTTCTCCTTCTGTCAGGACAGTGTGTGAAGGACTCCCTAGGAAGCTAGCTCCTATCCAAACCCACGCACAGCCAGCCGTGGTAATCCTTTGATGGCCTAGGAACCACCACTAGATGCAGCCACCTTCCCACTGGCCACCTTCCCCATGACGGACATCTGGTCCACAGATATCTCCCAGTGGTCGCCTCCTCTAAAATTACTCCAACTGTCAGGAGGACATGGCATTCAGGCAACCAAGCTCTGAGCGAACAATGTCCCCTGAGCCGGGAGGTCCTCTCTGGCAAGTAGACTGTAAGCACTTGTGCAGAAAATATCTATACATGAGAATCCGTTAGAGTGCAAGCAAGGAAGAGAGAGCTAGAGACAGCAGGGATCTGGCAAAGCCCTGGAGGGGCACGGTCGGGTCACCGAGGGGGAAAGCAGGAGCTGGCTCATCTCACTTAGTGAAATCCCTTTGGTCAAGTAATTTCCTCCTAAACCCTAAGATCTTATAAAGAAGAGACGTTACCAAGGAAAATAGGTAAACAGTGTTTTCCAGGATAATCAGCTTGGCTTTACTGGCAACTCCATTAACGGAACACTTCAGGTAAGTGCAGCCTCCCTCACTAGAAAGTTTACCATGGACGTGGAAAGTTTTATCTTCAATCTAAAAAAAAGAAGAACCAGAAAAATATATTTAAAATTAACAGCATCCCCACAGAGTTAATGAAATCAGAATCAATTCTTCCCTACTGGTAACTTCAACAGGTAATACATAAAATGGAGAGGGCCCAGCACAACGGCCCTGTGCCTAAATCTAGCCTCGCAACCACTGAGATCCCATATGGGCACCAGTTTGTGTCCCAGTGGCCCCACTTCCCATCCAGCTCCCTGCTTGTGGCCTGGGAAAGTACCAGAGGATGGCACAAAGCTTTGGGACCCTGCACCCACACGGGAGACCTTGAGGAGGCTCCTTGCTCCTAGCTTTGGATCATTGCAGTTCCGGCCACTGCAGCCACTTGGAGAGTGAATCAGTGGATGAAAGATCTTTCTCTCTGTCTCTCTGAATATCTGATTTTGCAATAAAAATAAATAAATCCTTTTAAAAAAGATTCATCTCAGTACATTTCATCTTAGCTCTCATTGCTGAGCATACAAAGTCAAATTTAATTTTCCTATGCAAAAGTCAGTAATAAAAAGATCAGAACCATATATAACTATATTTTTAAATATTTTTTCCCCAGGAGCCAGCATGATGGCTCAACTGGCTAACCCTCCATCTGCAATGCTGGTATTCCATATAGGCACGAGTTTATGCCTTGATGTTTTCATATCTTGACTGCTCCATTTCCCCTTTAGCTCTATGCTTGTGGCCTGGGAAAGCAGTGGAAGATGGCTCAAGTCCTTAGGATACTGCACCCACATGGGAGACCCAGCAGAAGCTCCTGGCTCCTGGCTTGAGATTGGCTCAGCTATAGCAGTTGTAGCCATTTCGGGGAGTGAACCAAGCTGTACTATAATGCCTACCCCTTAATGCCCTCTTAAAGAGCACATGCAGTTAATGATTTTCATAACAGGACATAAATTTAACTTAACTATTTTTTTAAAAAGATTTATTTATTTTTATTGCAAAGGCAGATTTACAAAGAAGGAGATACATGAGAAGGTATCAGAAAGTGGCCCACGTGCTTGGACCGCTGCAGCCACATGGGAGACCCAGATGGAGTTTTTGATTCCTGGTTTTGACCCAGTGCACCCAGACCATCAGAGCTACTTGAAGAGTGAACAAATGTGTCACTCCTAGGGTTTGCATTAGCAGGTGACTGCAATAGAAGCAGAGACAGGACTCAAACCCAGCCTTCTGGATAAAGGACCTGACTGCCCTTCTACAGTCATGTCATCACAGTCAAAGGCTTATGACAAATCACAGAGTGAAAAAAGACCCAACTGAATATTAGGGAGGTCAGATTGAGCTCTGAACTGTGGAACAAAACCATTGGCTTACCTGCATGCTGTATGACCCATCATGATTATATGTTACAGCTATGGTTACATCTTTATAGAAAAGGGGGAAAATGGAAGAAAAATTAGAGAACATTTATTTAATAACTGAGAAGTCACAAATCTTATTTCCAATCTTAACATAACCATCTGTTTAAAGAAATATTACACGTTTAGTTCCCTGGAGATAATATATTTTAGAAAAATATCTGTGAGGTAGGTTTCAATAAAGGTGAACTTTAAACTTTTTCTAAGTGGAGTTTTCGATATTTAAGGTTAAAGGATATTTCAGGGCCCGGCGCAGTGGCACAGTGGTTAAAGGTCCTCGCCTTGCATGCCCGGGATCCCATATGGGCGTGGGTTCTAATCCCGGCAGCCCCGCTTCCCTTCCAGCTCCCTGCCTGTGGCCTGGGAAAGCAGTCGAGGACGGCCCAAAGCTTTGGGAACCTGCACCCGCGTGGGAGACCCGGAAGAGGCTCCTGGCTTCGGACTGGCATAGTATCGGCCTGTTGCGCTCACTTGGGGAGTGAATCATCGGACGGAAGATCTTCCTCTCTGTCTCTCCTCTCTGTATATCTGCCTTTCCAATGAAAAAATAATAAAAATAAATCTTTATAAAGGATATTTCAGATATTTCCCCCTCAACAACAACAAACTCTTAAAGTAAAAAAAAAATGCAATGAATTTGTACAGAGAAAATTCTGGTTTAAGATGTAAATGTACCATTGATCACCTCTATGGTCTTCTAGTCACTAAATCTTGACTGAGCCATTTACTGGCTATCAGCATGTAACAATGACTAAGTAAATGTAAAAATACTTTCATCATTTTGATGTTCCAGCCCACTTGATACTCCGGCCCACAGCTGTGCCTAGTCTTGAACTTCTTTCTGAAGAACTCTGCTTAGTGATTCCAAGTTGGATGCTCCCCTCATAACTGAACATGAACATGCTGGGTCAACAAATCACTTTCCCTCCTGAACTGGGACCCCTGTGATGAGCACTGCTCTTCTTGTCATCCAGGTTCAAAACTGGCCTTCTTTGCCTTGTTCTTCTTGGGTTTCCACATCCTACAGTCACTACACTGCTGCCAAATTCTTCGATTTGAACATTTGGTTCGATTCCATCACTTTCTTTCAATTCCCATTCCTCCACATTGGTCCAGGCCCAACAGTCTTAATCTGGCTAATTTGTGAAGAGATCTTCCAGGATCTGCTTACTTTTCTGTTTCAAACCTTCCAGCAGCTACTTTCTAGCATGTCTCCATTGTATTCAAACTTCCTGCTTTGGTACTGAAGGGGGCAACTTCTCAGTCTTCCTTCCTACTGCTCCCCTACACAGACGCTCCACCTCAAAGCACAAATGGCCCCACGAATACTCCCCACACATGATTCCAGCTTTCCTTCCACTGTAGCCATGACCCTCCTCCACTATGTTGCTGGTGTCCAGCCACATCACTTAAATCCAACCTCTCATTCACCTCATGCCTACTGTCCTTGGGCAAAATTTTTCTATACAAAATGAATGGTCTCCTGGCTACACACTTGGGTTTTTATACAGAAAACACAGTTCTACTCAGTGAAATAAGTCAGACAAATATCACATTTTCTCTCATGTGTGGAAACTAATATACATGAGAGCATAAAAATGCAGGGAGGTCATATTATGTGGTATATAGTTATAAGTATTATCTTCATGACATCCTCTACAGTATAATATATTCTTTTCTTTTAACACTTTATGATCACATCCATGAATACCATCTCACATAACATTAACATTCCTATTTTCAAGAAAAAAGTACAAACACATAGTATATGATATCTACATATGGAGGTCAAAATGTTAAAAATTGTTTATTAAAAATATAATTAAAAATAAAATAGAATCAAAACAATAACAAAACACCTTTTTAAAATTCTCTCCTCTATCCTAGCTTATGAGTGATTTTTTTTCTTCACTGGTTATTTTTAAAAACTATAAAAACAAAAATGTTTGCAGAAGTCAACTAGAAAAGTCCATAATTTCCAGTGCTTGCAGTATCACCCATGGTACCATCTATCTTCCAATACACACAGTCCGAAGAGGTAAACTTCTTCAAGAGAGAAAAGGAGGGATGATGACATATTTGTTTCCTCTTCTCCATACTAACTCAGTGTATTTATCTTTTCTAAAAAGTTGTACTGAATGCAGGAAACTTCTTTACCCTTTATCTTTCTTGTCAACAGGTCCTAACTCTTAAGAGAAAAGGCTTCCTGTTATACCAGATTGGCTCTGACTTATGAAATATGGAAAGCCTTGAACTGATATGAATGCTGGTAGCACCATAAGAAGGACACTGCCAGGAAAGCTCTATACATTTTTATTTTCGTATGGGACATGGAATATATTTCTCTCATATCCAAACATCTCTAGTCCCCCATAAGAGCCCCTTATGCCTCCTCTTACATGTAATAAGCTCTGGAAGTTTAACACAGCATAGTGTTAGCTAAGCATGTAATCCATGGGGTATGGGTTCAAATTGTGATTCCCCCAATTAATATAAAAAGTGATGTCATTTTTTGGAAAATTACTAATTTCTTTAACTCTTGACTTTGGTTCAGCAACATGAGTAATTTATAAAACTGACACTAATAATAAAGATGACAATAACTTTGTTTTCATTGGCTCTGAAACTGAAGTAATCTTGGAAAAGGTTTGATAGAGTAAATATCTGACAAGAACCAAATACTCAATACATTTCAGTTTTGCTATTATTACTATCACTATTATTACGGGTTGGGCACAGTTCTATGAAACATGACTACTAGCACCAAAGTCATAACGTTTTTCAAGTATCAAACTTTAAAATATTTGTTCCTTCTCTATGCAGTCACTAAAAGTTGGTTCTGCTTCGGATTTATAAATGCATCTAGGTCCTTAGACTTCCTAGTTGGTTTACTCTGCCTTACTTAGCTGTAGTCATTGTAACACATCTGAAAGTTGTGTCACTCACACGTGGGTTGTTATAATGGGATGTGGCCAAATAAATGAACAGCAATCACACTGGCTTTTCAATCACCTATTTATTTTTAAATCAATTATCTTTATTAAATTCCAATTAAAATGTTGTATAATTCAAAAACACTTTGCAGGGCTCTGGGGATGATCCACTGATCCGTGCCCATCTGAATGACAATCTCACACTCACACACAGACACACACACACACACACACACACACAGCTGTTAACTTTTGGTAGAGGAGACCTCTGGAGCTAGACTGCTTCTGATCCTAGTAGTGTTGGGCCCACAGGAGTCTGCAGTTATCTGGCACTCTCAGCCATGACTGTGCCCATCTGGCTTCTGTGCAGGTCATCCTGCAGCAGAAGGGATATGGTCCATGGACTACGACAGGATTCTGCTGCCTTGGGGACACTGCTCCAGCCACCTGTCCATAAAATGCCTTCTGACTTGAGCTGAATAAAATAAATCAGACCCTGTCTTGAGCCTACTCAAATAAGTTGGTTATTAAAAAATCAATTTTGTACTAGGAAAATGGTGGCAAGAACATGGGCATCAATGTCAAAAAGAATTCGTGTCAATCCTGGTTCTGCCACCACCTGTCCTTGAGTAACTCGCTGCGTCTTCCAGGCCTCGGTTTCATCATCCGACAGTGACTCTCCCTCACTGAGGGGTTGTGAAGATAAACATTTAAATGTGGCAAGGCACTTATTAAATGATAGCTCTTCAGTGACTCACGTCTACCTGAAGCAGTGCCTAGCAAGTGGGTGATCCTCACTCTCTGGCACAGTGGGGCTTATTGTTTTTTTTCTTCAAAAGGAATGTGCTCTCACTGCAGAAAAATTACAAAGCAAAAAAAAATACAGACTGCAGAGAAAGGAAATTGCCTCAAATCTTACTACCCAGCAGCAACTTGGCTAACACTCTGGCATATTTTCTTTGTTTTGCTACTTTTCTTTATCACACATTTTAAAAATATTTACAAAATACAGAAAAAAAAGTGTAAAGAAAAATGAATATCATTAACTCTATTACTCACAGACAATTCTATGATTGAGGCATGTTTTCTCCCAATGGTTAGGTTAGGCAATTCAAAAAAGGTAACTGTCTGGTCATGACCAGCTGAATCTTCATTTTCAAGTTCATGTGATGTTGCACATCTAGGGCTCACACTTCTCCTTTAGCGAAAACACTACTTACTGTTTTTACCATCTCTAAGTGTCATGTTTCTGATATACTCGACATTCAGTCTTCTTCCATTGCAGAGTGAAAATGGAGAGAACTGATCTAGAAAGAATTTAAATTAAAAAACAATTTTATGACTGTCAAGCTTGCTAAACTGATGCCTTGCAAAAGCAAAAAAAAAAAAAAAGCATAAAACACAGGTTCTAAAATTGGCAGCTCAAATGCATTTTCTTTGTTCTCAGTGTTTTAATTAGATATGTAAATTTACATCTCAGGAAATTTCATGTGGAAAATCCCAGTTTCTCTTGAACACTCACAGTAGTTGTGCCTTCAGCTTTCCACCTCACATGACATAGATGACATGAGGCTCCCCCATTTGACAGGGCAAATGGACTGCAGGTCACCAGCTCTCTAACCCTCACTCTTTTTACTTCCACCTGATCAACTCTTCACATTATTAGTACAGACCCATTCTGGACCTGGCTACACATTCTCCGTGGACAAAATCCAGGCGTTTCAGCAGAGCTAAACTAAAGCAGTTTATTCTGATATATGAGATGTGGGTGTCTGGAGTGGCGTATTAACTACTGTGCCAAACACCTGCCCCAAGAACACTCCATTCTAAAAATGTTAAGTTCAGGCTCAGGAATACCACACAGGGCATATCTGGATGCATTTTTCATTTAATATAAGAGGACAAGATGAAAACAGAGCATACATCTCTGGTATACTTTAAAAACTTTTATTTCTTTGAGTGGTGGGGCGGTGGGTAAGACAGAAGAGCTCTCCTCAGCTGATTCACTCACCAAACACCCACAACACCAAGGGCCAGGGACCCAAGTTAGGAGTCCGGAACCAGTGCAGGTCTTTCATGCAAGTGAAGCCATCACTGCTGCACACTAGCAGGAAGCTGGCACGAGGAGCTGAGCTGGATCTGGACCAAGCCACTTGGAGATAGGATGTGAGGGTCCCAACTGGCAGCTGCATGACCAGGGTAAACGCCTGCCCTCAGAGTTACATTTTTTTAAAAAAAATTGTTTATTTGCTTTTATTTATTTGAAAGATGGAGACACAGAAATCTTCCATCTGCTGTTTTGACTTCCTAAGTGTCTGCAGTACCTGGGGCTGTGCATGTGGGTAGCAGGGGCCCATGGACTTGTGCCATCATCTGCTGCCTGCCAAGGTGCTCACTAGCAGGAAGCTTGGCCAGAAGTGGAGCCAGGCCCAAACCCAGGCACCTCAATATGGGATGTGGGTGTCTGTGCCAAACACCTGCTGCCACAGATGTACTTTTTAAACATTCAACTTAAATATCTTGAATAAATCCAGAAACTAAAAATTCCAAAAATAGGATCCTATAACAACTCAGGATAGTGTATAACAGTTCTAATAATGATGATATGAACGGATTTTTAAAAATCTGCACCAAATGTCAAAGTTAGCATAGTAAACATTGGAAAAAGTTTGACAGAATTCAGATTTCATCTTATCTTTATTTTTTTATAGATTTATTTTATTTATTGGAAAGGCAGAGTCCTAGAATGAGAGAAAGAAGGAGAGAGAGACAGGCAGTCAGAGAGAAAGATCTTCTATTCACTGACTCACTCCCCATAAAGACCAAATGGCTGGTTAAGGGCCAGGCTAAAGCCAGTCTCCCATGTAGGTGCAGAGGCCCAAGCACTTGAGTTCTCTTCTGTTGCTTTCCCAGGCACATCAGCAGAGCACTGGATTGGAAATGAAGCAGCCTAGACTCAAACCAGAGGCCATACAGGATGCCGACAACGCAGGTGACAACGGTACATGCTGTGTGATAACGCAGCCTTGAGAGCAATAACTCTAATGGAGAGTTTCATCATCAGGAAACTACAATGAACTACCTGAAGAGGTCATGAATTTCCAGGGACAAAAGTCAGGAAGACATTGTCAGAGCAGAAGCTGTCCTGGGCCTGTCACGGGCCTCCCAGTGTTTGGGGTCTATAATGTGATGACGTGTGAATGTTTCCAGGCAGACATACATGAACTCACAGAATGCAGAAAGAGAGGAAGAGGTGACTAACGAATGACTCACAAGGGAATCGACAGCTGCCAGAGCTCTATCTGGGACTAAGGGAGCTGCTGCAGATATGGGAAGAGTTGGTGTTCCACTGAGAAGGGTGAGGTGACGTGTTAAGCTTCATGTACTCTCGATGGGCGAGGAGTCTCTGTTTACAGTAAAGGACGCTCTGTATCAGTCACTGAGAGCAGCAAAGGCAGGCAAGAGTGGCACCAAGAAACAACAGCTGTGCAGCATGCTAAGCCCCTGCTCAAGACACCCGTGCCCCACAGAGGGCCTGCTGAATCCCAGCTACAGCATCCCTGCTAATGCATCCTGGGAGTGGCAGGGGAGACAGCAGCAGACTGCCCCTGTGCTCCAGTCCTGCCCTCAGGCGGGAGACCCAGACAGCTTCTGCCTGTGGCTTTGAATGGCCCTGCCCTGGCGGGCATTTGGGGAGTAAACCAGGGGATGGAAGATCTCTCTCTCTCTGCCTTACAAGAAGATAAAAACAGACATGCAATAAAAGGACAAACATGTCGAATGGTGATTCACGAATTCTAACCTTGTGTCTGGAGTCCGAAGGCATCCGTCGTGGCTTTCTCCTGCAGGATAAGCCCCAGGGCTGCCTGGCACAGCCACTCCTTGGCAGCAGCCTTCCAGCTGGGCAGTAACTCTCGGTGGTGCTGAGGGATGAAGTTGGTGTGCACGTTCCCGGCTTCAAACTCCGGGTGGCCGCACAGGCTGAGCAGGAAGTCAATGTTGGTGTGCAGGCCAACAATCTAGGAGAGAGAGAAGCCCCCCACCCACGTTCTTGGTGAGTAGAGAGATCAGCACCTTCAGGAATACGACTGCCCCTCTCCACCAGTATCTCCACTGTGGAAGTGAAAGGGTGCCATGGAGCAATCGTGCAACTCAGGAAAAAAAAAAAAAAAACTCCCCAAAAAGCACAACCTCACTATCCCTACAGGTACGACTATGGATACGGACTTACTACATAAGATGTTTTAAGTAGGCAGGGAAGAGATATTTAAAAGATGCCATTTAGTTAAATGTTGAGAAACATACAAGAAATCCATTTGCAAGTTATCGAGGCATTACCCTTGAGCACTTTCTGCCAAAGCAGAGAAACGTAGAGGAGCAGGTGGGCGGCTTCACTGAGGACAGACATGGAGCAGGCAGAATCAACTGACCCATACCGATTCTCTGTTCTGCCCCGAAATCCAGCTTTCCCATTCTGATAGAAAAAAGCTATAAAATACCCTCAATCATCCCAAGAGACAGGGTCAAAGCTAAAACCAGCCACCTGGGCCCTGGCTTCACTCATCCACCCCCTCAACTGTCTTGTAGGCATGTACTGAACACCTGTTAGGTGTCTGGCTCAGGTCCAGGCCCCTGGGGACACAGTGAGGGAACAAAATGGACCAGCCACCTTGCCCTCACAGAGCTTACATATAAGGAAAATGTTAAGCAAAGCTATGAACTATTATCTTACACGAAGAGGTTTATGGAAAAATGAAAGTAAAAAGGGAAAAACTATTCATATCCCCTATGAATGATATTACTTGCGCTGCAGAAAACTATAGCTGGTTGAGGCAAAGGAAAACAGCCAAGCATCCTATTTTAAACGGAGTAGCCCAGGAAACAACTCGGGGGGTGAGCACGGCTGTGGAGGAAGCTCTACCATCAAGTTGGGGGAAGAACTTTCTGGAAGAGATGACAGGAAAACAGGACTTGACACTGGATGTGTCTGAGAAATGGCTAGGAAGCCAGTACAGCTGGGCCAGAGATAAAGATTTTAATCAAATTAGTAACATCTTAACAAATTTTAATATTGTGATTTATGGCGATAAATGTGCTACAGAAAGTAACACACTACCAAATGGATGAAACTAGACATAATTATTTTCCTTTTATGGAAGAATTTTCAGATTACAGGCTTTACTTGCATAGCTGGCCTTACCTACTGAATGAATGAATAAGATTTCACTGAAATGTAACCATGACACTAACAGTTGGGCTATAATCTAACTGAAAACAAGAAGCCCTCACACCTATTTTGATCTAAGAGAAAATGTCTCATGTGAAACTATTTTGAGACTTCTGGGTAACTGGTGGAAGCAAGCTGCCAAGCCAGGCTGATAAGGACAAAGGCTGATTTTGGATGCTGACCAGAATCATCAGGGTCACCGGCCTAGGTCACTCACGTTGTACTGATGAAGGCTGTGCCTCAGCTTCATCAGGGCCGCCTGGCGATCGGCTGCCCAAACCACCAGCTTTGCGATCATGGGGTCATAATGCACTGAAACTTCATCTCCTGAAATTGAGAAACAAATCTTTGGTCAGCTCCCAAAGGCAAATCTGTAAGGACCACAATGGGACAGCCAAGCCACCTGCCTACATGCACCTCACTTAATTCTCACAAACCCTGCACTCTCATGGCTTTATCCAGGGAGGAGATCAAAGCTCAGGAATATCTGAGCATCTGTCCAGAGTCTCAGGAAACGATGGCCACACAAGACCACCAGGCCCTCATATGGTGACTCAGGGCTCACAGGCTGGCTTTCCCAATCCTATTCTGAACCATCTGCTCCATACTTACTTACAAAGACAATGCAAATTCCCTGTACTTTCTCACTCGACACTGACTTCTTCCCTTGGCACTGCCCTCCCTCTATCTCATCAGCCACTTAAACAGACTAATTCCCTTATTCTGCAAGGCTGCTGTGAGGAGGGACAATAAGGTGCAAGCAATAAGGTGTGGACCTGGCAGAGCTAGCGAAAGAAAAAAAAGAAAAGAAAAGAAAAGAGGAGAGGAAAGAAGAAAAGAAGAAAAAAGGGAAGGGAAGGGAAGGGAAGGGAAGGGAAGGGAAGGGAAGGGAAGGGAAGGGAAGGGAAGGGAAGGGAAGGGAAGGGAAGGGAAGGGAAGGGAAGGGAAGGGAAGGGAAGGGAAGGGAAGGGAAGGGAAGGGAAGGGAAGGGAAGGGAAGGGAAGAGAAGAGAAGAGAAGAGAAGAGAAGAGAAGAGAAGAGAAGAGAAGAGAAGAAAAGAAAAAGAAAGTCTGCTATGGTTACTGTGAGAGTTACAGTCTTAGAGAAGAAAGAGCCTGAACTGGAAGCAGTCCAAGTGGGAAGGATGTGGTGTGGTCAAATAACATTTTTTCTTAACTGTGTCAGGTTATCTCTCCTCTCTGAATTCCAGGTCCTCTTCTACAAAACCAAGGGACTGGAATCTGCTCTGTCATCTACCTGCTTAACCACCAACCCATAACGTACACCTCCTGGACCCAGGCTTGAGCAAGGTGCTGCAAACACAGCCTGGAATCCATCCCTCAAGAGTCTTACAATGTAATGGAGAAACAGACAAGGAACTAGAGACGGCAGGTGCACAACAAGGGTGATGTCTGAGGGATGCACAAGGGGCACACTTGACACAGAAGGGGAGGGTTGGAAGAAGTTTCCTGGAGTAGATTCTCTTCCAGCACCAAGACAAAAAACCTGGAAGTCCTTTGAAGCACTGCATTTCTGCCATTCTTTGAATGCCCTTTGTAAATCCCACCGTCAGCTCTGCTTGTCCCACACTAGCTCCTTCGTTCACTACTGCAACTCCTTTGGTCTGTAAGATGCTCTGCTCGTAAGTTAAAAATTTATCACCCACCAAATCCACCATGGCTTAGCCATGGTCATGGCTCTCCCAGTATTATAAATCTGAGTTCCTTGATTTGGCTTTCAGACATAACATGATTTCTCCTCAGAATGTATCCACACTACATCTGCAACAGCTCAACTTTTCTGAGTCCTTGTCCCTAGATATAATTTTCTTTCTTAAAAAAATTTTTAAGATTTATTTTTGTCTGAAAAACAGCATTGGAGAGAGAGAGAGGAGAGACAGAGAAAGAGAGAGACAAATCTTCCATCTGCTCGTTCACTCTCCAAATGGCCCCAGCAGCCACAGCAGAGCTGATCAAAAGCCAGGAGTTTCTTCTGTATCTGCCATGTGACTGCAGGGCCCCAAGTACTCAAGCCAGCTTCTGCTGCTTCCCAGGCACATTAGTAGGGAGCTGGGTTTGAAAGTGGAACAGCCAGGACTCAAACAGCCAGCCATACAGAATTCTTGTATCACAGCTAATGGTTTAATGTACTGTGTTGCAACATCAGTCTTACTAAGTTTCTCTTGTAATTCAACAACTTTAAGGCAGAGTGCCTTCAATACCACAGATATCGCCCCAACTCACTTCTGCAACTTAAAGTTAAAAAAGAGAAACCATACACACAAAACAACTCTTAGTCAAGTTTGTACTGAGGCATCTCAAAATAAGATTATCTTGCTTAAATTACAAGCTATTTTGGGGATCAATGCAATAGCTCAACTGGCTAATCCTCTGTCTGCAAGTTCCAGGATTCCATATGGGGTCTGGCTTGAGTCCTGGCTGCTCCCCTTTCCATCCAGCTCTCTGCTTATGGCCTGAGAAAGCAGTGGAGGATGGTCAAAAACCTTGGGAACCTGTACTTTTGTGGGAGGCAAAGAAGGGGTTCCTGGCCCCTGGCTTCAGATTGGAACAGCTCCAACCATTGCATTTAGGGAGTGAACTAGTGGATGGAACATGTCTTTCCTTCCCTGTGTAAACCTGCCTTTCTGATAAAAATGAATAAATCTTTTTTAAAATGCAAGCTATTCTTTAAAAAGAACTATTCCAGAAGGAAAAAGTAAAGGCTAATAAGAAATCTATTAAATCCTTTATTTTAACAGATTGGGTTGGTACAGGAGAGCAGCACAAAAGAGCCTGGGGTGGGGGCCCAGTGTAGTAGCCTGGCAATGAAGGTCTTGTCCTTGCATGTGCCGGGATCCCATATGGGCACTGATTCATGTTCCGGCGGCTCCACTTCCCATACAACTCCCTATTAGTGGTCTGGGAAAGCAGTCAAGGATGACCTGAGGCCTTGGGACCATGCACCCGCGTGGAAGACCCAAAAGAAGCTCCTAGCTCCTGGCTTCAGATCAGCTCAGCTCCGGCCATTGAGGCTGCCTGCAGAGTGAATCAAGATCTTCCTCTGTCTCTCCTCCTCTTCATATATCTGACTTTGCAATTAGAAAAAAATAAAAAATAAAAAGAGCCTGGAATGGATTCCCCCCTCTGCCTTCTGATCCAGCCTCCTACATGTGCCTGGGAGATAGCAGATGATAGCTTGAGTACATACGTCCTTGCCACCCATGTGGGAGACCCAGCTGCAGTTCCAAGCTCCTGGCTTTGGTCTGGCCCAGGCCTAGCTACTGCGGTCATTTGCGAGAATGAACCAATAGGTGGGGAAAAAAATCTGTCACTTTGTTTTTCAGTAAAGACGAACAGTAAAAATAAAGAAAAGTGGCACATTTGGTGGCTGGAGATTTTGAAGGAAAAAAAAAAGTCAAACATCTCAATAAGTATCAAGGATACAACTCATGTAAAAACTAAGCAAGACTGAGACGCTGGTCTTGTCATATCTTACCTTGCCGTACTCCAGTTTCAATCCTAGTGGAACAGTCTGCTTGAGGGGTTGAGAGATGCACCAAGGGCCCAGCCAACGGCATGAAGTTATTGTTAGGATCTTCGGCATATATTCTTGCTTCAAAGGCATGGCCCTGCAGGGTTATTTCTTCCTGGCTCAAGGGGATCTTCTCTCCTGCTGCAATCTGGCACAAGAACAACGTCTTCAATGAAAACTGCTCTTCCAGCAGCTGCAAGGCTTACAAACTCAACGCTCTCACTTTTTTCCTCACGTAAAACATACATGTGGACTTCGCGAGGCAGCCAAGTGAAACCATTACTTTATCCTCCCACTCTGGCATTGGGCAAAAATGAAAATAAATTAAGAAACAGATATAGCCTGGGGAATGATCTACTCACTACAATGAGTTTCTGCAGGTTTGAAATGGAGAGAGCAGGCAAATCAGGAACATTTAATTTATGAACATAAAAATCAGTGCTTGTTCAATATAATCCAAACCAAGATTTCTTACTGGCAAGATATTACCAGTTTTCACTTTATGAACACTCCAAATATGAACACTTGAGGCTGACATGTGGTATAGCAGGTTAAGCTGCAGCCCATGATCCCAGGATCCGACACTGGCATGCAGGTGAGGCCTGAGTGCCTCCTTCAACAAGCTCCCTTCAGACACGCCTGGGAAAGAAGCAGAAGATGACTGAGTTCTCGGGCCGCAGCCTCTCTGGGAGGCTTGCAGAGCTCCAGGCTCCAGGCTTCGGTCTGGACTACACCTGGTCATCGGAGCCATTTGGAGTGAACCAGCAGATAGAAGATCTGTTTCTCTTTCCCTTCTCTGTCACTCCGTCTTTGAAAAATCAATAAAGTAAATCTTTATTGTATGAACATTCAAATAATAAGTATCAGTACTTATCTGCCAAATTTTTGATAGGAAAATTATTAGTTGGTGTTTAGGACTGTATTGCCATCAAAAAGGTGCACCTGGAATTAGTAATCTGCATTGTAAAATTCACCAGCAAGTATGTGATACAGCAAAATAGCAAGGGGAATCTGACAGCTTTTAAACTGTATTATTTTTATATTAGATATCAGACTATAAACAGGATAACTGTGATTAGTCATCACTACAATAATTATTACCATTTTGGCTATTATGCATTAATACAACATCTCTGTTTTCACCAAGTACAAAGGGACTTCAAAAACCCTGTGGGAAATGGAATTAAAATGCTTAATGTCAATACAAAATTATTTTTTAAAAGATTTATTTATCTTTATTGGAAAGTCAGATTTGCAGAGAGAAGGATCTTTCATCCTATGGTTCACTCCCCAAGTGGCCACAACGGCCAGAGCTGAGCTAATCCAAAACCAAGAGCCAGGAGCCTCTTCCGGGTCTCCCACGTGGGTACAGGATTGCAGTCCTCGACTGCTTTCCCAGGCCGCAAGCAGGGAGCTGAATGGGAAATGGGACTGCCAGGACTAGAACTGGCACCCATATAGGATCCCTGTGCGTGCAGGGTGAGGACTTTAGCCACTAGGCTACTGCACCGGGCCCAGAAAATGCTATTATTAAAAGACACGCTATCAGCTTCTCTCTTCACTTGACTCTTAATGTTTTGCGTCAACATGAGAAAATAACAACGTGATAGATGTGGAAAAAAAGGCTGTAAGTAACTTAACATCACTTAAATGAAACAAATAAGCACAAAACAGAGGCAAAGTTTTGTCTCCTTGTATGTGCAAATCAGAAAGATCAGGAGCCATCGTGGCTGAAAAGGAGAAGGAAGTGAACTGAATGCCTTAACGGTGTCGGATTTCAAACCACAGACCTGCACCCGCATGGCCTGGGTCCAAATTTTGTAATGCCTTGGGCAAGTTTTGTAAGCTCCCTCTGTTTCAGAGAAAACTGTCTGCCAAATGTAAGCATTAAGTGCTGGCTATTATCACTCCACTCTTATCTTTTCTAATGAAATTCTTTTCAGTGGTTTAATCAATAACCCTATTTAATATAATAAGAAAAAGGAGGCCCCTATAGCCATATCTCAAAATATGCTCTTACTTCCAATAGCACAGCTCCTCTTTACCTGTGCCCTCTGAGACTGGCTTCCATCTGAGCCCAGGAAACACTGGGCCCAAGCACACCTTCGTCTGTGCTGACTCTTTGGAAACCTCTAGCCTGGGACACCTGCAGCAGCTTCCCCTGAAGTCCTTTACCAGTGATCTACTGAAAGGCTGTTTATGAACTAAACCTTGTGATCTTATTTATTGGCAGAATATGAGGCCTGACACTGCTATTAGTTATCTGGACTGGCACCACGAACCCTAAATGTTTGCATAAATAAATCCTCTTGCCAAGAAGCCTTTGGTTTCACAGGCAGGTCCTGGAATTTGAACTTGTGACTCACCAAGTGGTAAGTCCCCTCGTTTTACCTCTGAAAGCAGCCAAACTTAAGCCAGGTACAGCTGCTTCCCTGTAAGTTCTAGAATCCTCTCCTCAGATGAGAAGCCTGCTTCTTTTTCTGAAGAGCCTCAACAGCTATTTTAATTTCTTGATTTTCAGAAATAAATATCTGTTGGTTTACTGATATCCAAAAGTTTCCTTGTTCCTTAATCCTTAAGGACCTTCATCCTCCAAGCTTTCAAAGGTCCAGACTTTCTTGGTTTATTGCTTCAAAAAAAAAAGTCTTTTTCCTTGAATTCTGGACATAACATCCTTTTACAGAAATTTCCACTACAATTTTTCCTGACACTCACTAACATTTACCAGTTTTATGGTCTGGTCTTCATTAGTTCCCAAGGTTTTACACGCCCAGAAGAATCTTTTGGCTCAATTAAAACCACTAATCATTCCCAAGGAACCAGCAAAAAGAACATCCTATTATTTTCCACAGTTCTGCAAGGACAAAATTATCAAAATAATCACAAGTTCAGCATCACAACACAGAAAAACACAATTCAGATCCAGGACATACAAAGAACCCCAAATCCTTCAGAGTCAAAAATTTTGATACTACAGCAAAGTTTTCTGTTTTATATTTTCAAAAAGAAGGTAGGTTAAAATGTATTGTTTCCAATAAAGAAAACAAAGACTAAGCTATAATTAAAATCTGAAGGAACCCTGTTTTATATCAGTGCTTCTTATCCAAAGGATAAGAACAGTTATGGACACATATTTTGTAAAATATCATAGGTGAGTTGTCATACTATCAGAATGATTTAAAAGCTTCTAGGCATTTATTCAGAATGGTTTTCTCCCGGGCTGGCCGTATTTTGTAAGTCAGCACTTTATCTGAATCACTCCATTGGTCTAGATCATTCCTTTGGGTTTTCATTGCCAATTCTGCCTTAGCTCATTTGGCTAGCATCTGTCCTGCTAAGAATGCTATACAGTCCTAGGGAAACCACAGGGCTTGGGAGGGTGTGCTTGAGAGCATGCCTTGGTGACAGCAGCGTACCTGCTGCTTAACCTGTACTAGAGGTACATGAAGGCAAGCAGCAGAGTCCCTAACGTGCTAACAGTCACAGCATGAAATGTGGCCTTATTCCTTTGTCACTTCCCAAATTCCTGTCCTTACCACAACCATAACTGAATCCTGATCAAAGTAGTACCTCTTTGAGGAGGCCAGAAGCTAACTTATTCTCAAAACTGATATCTAGCAGAAAAATCACCCTCACCCTAAGCTGCCACTCCACCAAGTCAGTTCCTGTGATCATTTCAGTGACAGGATGCTCCACTTGCAGCCTTGTATTCATCTCCATGAAGTAGAAATTATGCTTTGAGTCCATTATAAACTCCACTGTTCCTGAAAGATAAAATGTGATAAAAAGAAAAGTTCAATGGGTTTGATTGAGGAGCAAACCAAAGATTTCAGTATGCATCACAGCAAGTTGCACTGCTGCCTTCACTCGACGGGAAACACTCGGCATTTCACACCAACTACATCTCACATTTTGACTCAACAAATGAGTCTCAGACAAAAGCAGGGAGCTGCCTGAAATGTAGCAATTGGAACATGTACTTGGAATTGTGAGTCAACAGTTACGTTCAAACTGGGAATCAGTCTTGGTCACCAGAGCTGTGAGCACGTGGCTGGACCGTGGTCACTACACAGAGCACCAGGAGCCCCAGGAACCTCGCACCCTGGTACCTTACTTCATGCTTACTCTGTGGAGGAAGAGACTTTCTTTTTCTTGATTACAGGCCTTCTGAGTTTCCTTTCAAAGTCCTTTTGCCTGTGATCCATTGAAAGGTTGTTTGTAACTTAACCTTGTATTAATGTTGTATCTATTGGCATTTTATTAAGCCTGACAAAATCTCCCCTAACTTTATTGTGGTTTCATTCATTTATTAAGGCTTCATGATTTACTTATTTGAACAGCAGAATTACAGAAACAGAGGAGAGACAGAGAAATCTTCCATCTACTGGATTACTCCCCAAGCGGCCACAATGGCCAGGGCTGGGCCAGAACAAAACCAGGAGCCAGGGGCTTCTTCCAGGTCCCCCAACATGAGTGGTAAGATCCCTAACATTGCACCATCTTGCATTCCTATCCCACACCTTCCTTTTCCCAGGCATATGCAGGGAGCAGCTTTGGAAGTGAAACAGCTGGAACTCAAACAGGTACCTACATGGTGACACAGCGCTGTCCCCAGGATTTCATTTAAATAGCAAAACCCAACTGCTTTAAATGTGCATGAGCTGACTTCCTCAATGGAATACAACCAGAGAACCAACACTGTAATGAAAATACAATGATCAATTCCTCCAGAAAAGCCCTCCTCCCATTTTGCAGCTAGGCCCTCCACCCTGTCATTCAGATTCAACTGTTTCCTCCAGTTCTCCCACATGGGTGCAGGCACCAAGTACTTGGGCCAAACTCTGCTGCTTTGTCAAGTGTATCATCAGGGAGTTAGGTAGAAGTGAAGGAGCCAAGACTTGAACTGGCACCTATATGGAATACTGCCACTGCAGGCAGACTCAATCTCTTACGCTACAGTGCTGGCCCACGCCTCTCCATTCTTAGTAAGACCAGTCCTCAAGAGAGACTCCTTTCACCTGAGCCTGAGTTGCTGGCATTCCTATCAGACCAGAAGGAAAATACTCAATCCCAGTCCCTCCGGCCATCCTGTCCCACCTAACAGATGGAGAACAAAATAAAAACAGAGGAGCATTGGTGAAATTCAGCTTACTAGGCATATTAAAAGGAAAAAACAAAAAACAAAACCCCAAACAAAAGACCAGTTTGGAGACTGAATACACATCAGAATCAGAGCCATATATGGGAAGAATATTAGAATTATCAGAACAGTGAGACTAGAGAGGAGGACAGAGGGGAGGATAGGGAACTTGGGGGAGGGGAAAGGGAGACCCCAGCACCAACTAAACTGTATAAAAAAATTAAAAAAAAAAAAGATTACTGGAATTCATAAAAAAAAGAACGATCAGAACATGATTTTTAAAAATTATGATTAATATGCTAATAGCGCTAATGGAAAAAGTAGACAATATGCAAGAACAGGTGGATATTGCAGGCTGAGAGATGGCAATTCTAAGAATCAAAAAGAAACGTCAGTGTTGAGAAAAACATAGAAATGAAGCATGCTATTATGGGTTCATCAGCAGGATGGACACACTGAGACAAATTTCTCGGAGCCTGAGGATACAACAGAATCTTCCAAAACAAGCAGGAACAAAGGATTTAACAATGGCTATAAAAGGGGTAGAACACATATCATGGGAAAGCAGGAAAAAAGAGAAAGAAATAGCAGCGATGATGATTGAGAATTTCCTCAAATTGTCAGATGATAAATCACAGCTCCAGGAAACTCAGAGGACACTGAAGACAAATGTCCCCGCTCTGTCCAAAATACACATCATAGGCATGTTACATTTAAAACTCAGAAATTCAAAGCTTAAGAAAAACCTTTTTAAAATGTATTTTTAAAAAAGATTTATTGATCTTCATTGCAAAGGCAGATCTACAGAGAGAAGTAGAGACAGAGAGAAAGATCCTCCATCTACTGGTTCACATCCACCCCTCCCCAAATGGTTGCAGCAGCCAGAGCAGAGAGAATCTGAAGCCATGAGCCACCCCTCTCCACGGTCCCCCAATGACTGCGGCCATTCTCTGCTGCTTTTCCAGGCCACAAGCAGGGAGCTGGACCAGAAGTGGAGCAGCCAGGACATCAACCAGTGCCCCTATAGGATGCCAGCACCTGTTGGCAAAAGATCATACTGAGAGGGGAAAAAAAACCTTATCAGAATTATGATACAAAATTAACCTACAAAAGTGAATGATAGGGCCCTGGCTCATGTCCCAGCGGCCTAGCTACCCGTCCAGCTCCCTGCTTGTGGCCTGGGAAAGCAGTCAAGGACGGCCCAAAGCCTTGGGATATATATACATATCCCTCTCCCCCACCACTTTCTGTTTCTCTCTCTCGTTTGCTCCTTCTATCCCTGCTTCTCCAGCTATCACTCTGCCTTCAAATAAATAAGCAGAACTTCTAAAAAGAAAGGACAAATAAAAATTGAGTTTGTGGCAGCAGACTTCCAGGCTCCTTGCAAAAGTGTTCAAAAGAGTTCTTTAGAGAGAAGAAAAATGATCAAAGTTAGACATCTGAATCTACATAAGGAAAGGAAGAGCACTGAAAATGAATAAATGAAGATAAAACTTTTTGTCCTTATTCTTAGATGACCTAACAAATAATTATTCAAAATATGGCCCAGCACGGTAGTCTAAGCAGCTAATGTCCTTGCTTTGCACACCCTTATGCTATATGGGCACCAGTTCTAATCTTTGTGGTTCTGCTTCCCATCCAACTCCCTGCCTGTGGCCCGGGAAAGCAATTGAGGACGGCCCAAAGCTTTGGGACCCTGCACCCATGTGGGAGACCCAGAAAAGGCTCAGGCTCCTATCTTTGGATTGGTGCAGCTCCGGCCGTTGTGGCCACTTAGGAAGTGAATCAACGGATGAAAGATTGTCCTGTCTGCCTCTCTTCCTTGATATATATCTGTCTTTCCAAAAGATTTATTTTTTAATTTTTATTGGAAAGGCGGATATAGAGAGAGGAAGAGCTTCCGTCCAATGATTCACTCCTCAAGTGAGCGCAACGGCCGATGCTATGCTATGCCGATCCGACGGCAGGAGCCAGGAACTTCTTCCAGGTCTCCTATGCGGGTGCAGGGTCCCAAAGCTTTGGGCCGTCCTCCACTGGTTTCCCGGGCCACAGGCAGGGAGCTGGATGGGAAGCGGGGCTGCCGGGATTAGAACTAGCGCCCATATGGGATCCCGGGCGTGCAAGGCGAGGACCTTAACCACTGTGCCACTGCGCTAGGCCCAATAATAAATATCTTTTAAAAAAGATTTATAGGGCCCGGCACGATGGTGTAATGGCTAAAGTCCTTGAATGTGCCAGGATCCCATACGAGTGCCGGTTCTAATCCCGGCAGCCCCGCTCCCATCCAGCTCCCTGCCTGTGGCCTGGGAAAGCAGTCGAGGACAGCCCAAGGCTTTGGAACCCTGCACCCACATGGCAGACCTGGAAGAGGCTCCTGGCTTCGGATTGGCTCAGCTCAGCTGTTGCGGCTGGTGCTTGGGGAGTGAATCAACCAGCGGAAGCTCTTCCTCTCTATCTCTCCTCCTCTCTGTATATCCGTCTTTCCAATGAAAATAAATAAATCTTTAAAAAGAAAAGATTTATACTCTTCTATAAACAGGAAAGCCACTTTACCGGGCAGATATTGCAGCTCAGCAGTTGAGTTGCTGCTTGGGGAGCTCCCATCCTATACTGGAGTGGCTGGTTCAGGTCCCAACTACTCCTGCCCTCTGAACTAGCTTCCTGTTAATTTATCTGGGGAGGCGGCTAAGTTGAGCACAAGAGCTGGGTCTCTGCCCCCAAGTGGGAAACCCAAACAGGATTCCAGGCTCCTGGCTCTGTCCTGGCCAAGCCCTGGCTATTCTAGGGATATGGGGGAGTGAGTCAGCAGACAAGACATCTCTTTTAAGCAGAGAAAAATAAGTAAACTTTTCTCATTTTCTTTTCATGATATTTACATAGTTGATTTGATTGAGAAGGACCAAGGATCAGGAGAAAGTGGGTGGGAACACTGTTTCCACATTTTCTGCTTCTTCTTCCTGTATCCGGGGTAAGAAGGGAAATAAAGGGAGAAGCCACACCCAGCTTCCCAACAGCCTCAGTACCCAGGGATGGGGAACAGCCAACCAATGTCATTCCAGGGTACTGATGTGGAGCATGCTCCAGGGGTTCTGCTTAAGTGGTTTGTAAACTTTTTATTTTAAGATTTATTTATCTGGGTGGGGGATCCCGGACAGCCGCCATGTGCTGAGCTGTCCTCGGGCCTGCTGGTTCCGGGGGCCGCTTCCTTCGGGGTGAGTAGACCGAGGGGGAGGCCTCCGGGGCTGGGCAGGCCCGACACCCACCCGCCGCCCTCATGGGGCGGTGAATGGGATTTGGGAGGGGGGGCGACCTTGGGCCTGGGTTATTTAAACCTCCAGCTGCCTCCTGGCAGCTGGTGGGTCTCAGGACGGGGCGTCTCATGCCTGGATCCCGGACAGCCGCCACGTGCTGAGCTGTCCTCGGGCCTGCTGGTTCCGGGGGCCGCTTCCTTCGGGGTGAGTAGACCGAGGGGGAGGCCTCCGGGGCTGGGCAGGCCCGACACCCACCCGCCGCCCTCATGGGGCGGTGAATGGGATTTGGGAGGGGGGCGACCTTGGGCCTGGGTTATTTAAACCTCCAGCTGCCTCCTGGCAGCTGGTGGGTCTCAGGACGGGGCGTCTCATG